AATGTATAGGCAATTACAGAAGGTAATTGGCAATTAAGGAAGGTAAATGTAACTTCAGAAAGTAAATGTTTTTTTTTTACAGTTTTGTTGGTGATAACTGTATCATACTGTTTTTTTTTTGAGCTATGTCTATGGTTTTTTGAATCTCTAGAATAGACCAGATAGAAAATTATTGATCTAAACTTTCATTTGAAAACACTTTAACATAATTTAAAGAATATGGTGGCGGCAAGCTAGCTAAAGCTGTCTGCAACATGAACTCCTAGCAGCTGTTCATTTTTGGTATAAGAAATTAAAACAGCAATTTTTTCCCTCTGCTCTGTCTTGAAAAAGTTGTGTAAAAGATTTCCGTCTTAATGAACCAAAGAGCTTTCTTCTCTGGTATATAAACTTGTTCCGAGCTCTTCTCAGTGTATTTTTATTTTAACATTTTTTGTTTTTCATGATGGTGGTTTTTAAAACTTAAAACTTGTCAGGATTTTTCTAATTGCTTTTATGGTAGCTTGGAATATTGTTTGACATTTCTGTTAGATAACTTTTTGTGATACCTTGCATCAATCCAACAGTAGAGATAATGTTATGGTTAAAATTTTCCACATTTATCCTTTTGTTTATCTTTTTTTATGGTAAAAAAAGTTTTTCGGTTTTTTTCTTGAGAAGTACAAACTACTAGTTAGCAGCATATCCTTAATCACTGTCATTATCGTCTTTAACTTTTTCATCATAATCTATGAACAAAAAAGGTGAAAAAAAGAGACAAAATAAATTATAAAATAGTTTAATTGGTTTTTTGTTTTGTAAATAGTTTTGTAAAAACAACAATAAAAATCAGGACGAACCTTTTCCTTTTGTTTGAAAAGAGACTCTTTGTCTTTTTTTGATTTTATAATGGCAAAGGCATGATAAAACATTGATGGGCTGTAACAAAGATATCATCTACTCTTGAGGCAAACTCTTTTATTTTGTGCAGTCCTGGTTGCAATTGTTTGTTTTTGTCCTTTTTAAATTTTTTCAAATCCGCATTTATTATTTTTAGGTGCCCCGAGAAGATCTAACGGTCTTGTCACAGAGCACCGCGGAAGTGCATTTAATCAGGAAGTTTACGCCTCCTTCCTTACCGTGACGCGAAAATATGTCCAGACTTCGTTTCAAACCTGGATCTCCTGCTTTTAAAGCTGGCGCTCTAACCACTGCGCCACAGCCGCATGACATATATATATATATATATATATATATATATATATATATATATATATATATATATATGTCTTATATAAATATGTCATATATATATATATATATATATATATATATATATATATATATATATATATATATATATATATATATATATATGTATATATGACATATTTATATAAGACATATATATATATATATATATATATATATATATATATATATATATATATATATATATATATATATATATATATATATATATATATATATATATATATATATATATAATATGGTAAAATAATGGTATATATATCAATAATGAGTACTTTTTACCATATTATATATATATATAATATGGTAAAAAGTACTCATTATTGATATACATATCAATAATGAGTACTTTTACCATTATTTTGAATCCCTTGAATCATTCTAGAAGGTAAAGATTTATACAACATTTTTATGTACTAGATGTCAATTGCATCCTATGCAGATGCGATGGATGGTCAGCTAGTATATTAAATTGTTTACCACCTTTAAAATTATATGTGACAGCTGTCCCTAAGCATTCCCAATATTATTCAGATATTTGTCTATCACAATCACTTAATGTTCATGGAAGTTCAAGACATTTTTTTATTTCAGACGTATAAGGACTATAAACAAAGTTTCTAATCACAGTTCGACTGCGTCCATGCGCTCTAGCCATGTAAATAATTGAATGACCCATTTTCGCTAAGTTAGAGAGCACGTTTTTCTCATCTAAACTCAACAGTATAGCACAATCCATTAATAATTTATTATTTTATACTTAATAAAAAAAACTTAAATTAAATTTTGGCAGTTCACAACAGTTTACAGTTAAATAACTGTCTATGGTGTTAAAAATAAATATTCATAACCGCCCACAACCGCAATTTGTAAATAAACGTTTTTTTGTAAAAGTGTCTTATAAATTGTCGCATCAAAAAAATATATTTTTTAAAATAAAAAATTTAGGTAAGTTAAAAGAGAGTTTTTAAATCGTCATTTATCTGTGTGGTCCGATTGTAAACATATAATGTTAAAACTGTATGGGCAAGTGGGAGAAGAACCGCCCCCGTAACGTTTGGATTAATGTTATATGAAAATAAAAACGAAATGTGTTTTTTTTTAAAGTTTATTTTACATTATTAAGTTTTAAATTACTGCAATTAAGAAAAACGGTTTATGAAAATTCTATTGCACAAAATTAACACTTAATTAAATAAATAATAATTAATTTGCAAAAAATTTGAAATCTAATTTCCAACTTGTCAAAACAAAACTCTTTTTTTTTAAGTTTTTTCATAAACGCATTCAAGTCGGGCGATTATAATCATTGTCATTCGTAATTATCTAGTTATGATAAATATCAAAAGTATGCAGTTGTGTCTCCTGTGTGACTATGCGGTTCAGCTCCAAAGGACAGTTTTTAGAAAGAATACAGTTTCATAGCTTGCTTATTAGGTCACGTTGATATAAAAAATAGTTTTCACTTGATGAAACAACGCTGATAACACATATGTTTAACACTAAAATCAAAAATAGCTTAACCCTTGTAAAAAAGGTCTGGAAAGGTGTGATGTAAATATAATATTTTTATCAAAATAAACATTGTTATGCACAACTTCTCAGAAACCCAATAGGCACTCTTATTGACATAAACGAAATGAGGGTAACTGGTTTACTAACGCAAGGTATGTTTGTTGCCCGTATTAGATAATATTTTTCATAAGGAAATGTTATAAAACGGTTTTGCTTCCATATGCGGTTATGCCCCCACTTTCTCTATTTCTTTATTTCTTTTCCTTTTTTTTTTAGGTACCCCAAGAAGTCCTTACGTTCTTATCACAGAGCACCGCGGATAAGCATTTAATCGGAAGTTTACGCCTCCTTCCTAACCATTTTCGACACTCTTGCCCAGAGGTGGGGTTTGATCCTTTGCTTCTAAGGCAAGTGCGCTACACGGCTGCTCATAATATAAGCTTCTGGGCACATTTGCGTTTTTTAAAATTTTGGTGAATACCTAATTATTTTATCACACAATGTATATATTAGGGCCCTGCGAATCGGCATTTTTAGTTTCGAATGGAATCTCGAATCAAAGCAAGTCTTAATTTGCAAATCAAATAGAATCACGAATTGAATCAGCAATAAGAGGAAAAAAAAAGACTCTTTTTGAAATTTTTTTTTGCCTAAACTAATTTTTCAGCTGTTGCTTCAAAACAGTATTAATTACAATTACTTTGCTCTGGCTGAGATAAATGAAAATATTTTGATATCAGTTTAGCGTTTGGATATTTGAAAAAACAACAATACTCACAAAATAAAATGTGATTCATAAAACTCGAATCATTTTTTTCGAATCGACACTTTAAATTGATTTACAGGACCCGAATATATATATTTCTTTTTCTTTTATATATATATATATATATATATATATATATATATATATATATATATATATATATATATATATATATATATATATATATATATATATATATATATATATATATATATATATATATATATATATATATATATATATATATATATATTAACTAGCAATATTAATTAGAATAATATTGATTTTTGTTTGAAACCATAAATCATGAGAAAATAATTCCCAATCTTCTACATTATGGCTGATCCTAGGTCAGGATGCAGATATCTATTTTTGTAGAAATATTTTGTGTATGATAGAAAAATCATAAGTATATAAATATAGTTAAAACTGAAATATTTAATGAAAATATCATAACTACAGTTACGTTTATAACCATCAAAATGTTATCAAAAGCATTTATCAATCATAAGTCTAATAAAACACTAAATAAAAATACTGCTTTAAAACACCATACGCTAGCTGTTTTAAAAGGCTATACACTATCTAACGGGAGTATTAAGAATCACAACAAAAATAGCTTGTAAATTATTTTATTTGTATTTAATATAATTTGCTTTAAATTATTTTAGCCGTTTTGCAGCTCTAGAAAAATTTTAAATTAAAAAAACACCTTTTAATAATAAAATCACACAAATATAGAATTCCTAATTATATTTGTAAATTGACTATATTTTGTCTTTTTTTACTATAAAAATTAAAAATTGAGTTTAAGTAGGTCATTCTTTTAACGTTGATAAAGCTTGAAGTTTGATCAGGTTTCAATAGGAACTCTGTATTTGGCTGCATTTTGATACGACTTTGGTTTCTCGAATTATTTAGATTAAATTTTGATTTGAATTCTAGGGCTGTTTAAATTCTATTTTAATTCTATTAGTATTTTAATTTAAATTGTAGTGGTATTCTAACTTAAACTCTATTAGTATTCTAATTAAATTCAAGCCCGTACCGTAAAGTTTTTTTAGAGAAGGTCGTTTTAAAAAAAATAGGTTAGAATAACAAATAAAAATCTTTTTCGACAAATTCACGGTACGGGCATGAAATTTTAACAAATTAATTGCAAAAGTAATGCAATTATTTATTTTCAAATCATCTAAGTTTTTATTTTATACAGTGTTAAATTTATAGATTATGTTTTAAGGCGAGTTTTAATAATCACGTGAGCTTTAGTAATAAAAGTTTTTATTTGTTCATAGGAAAACGGTGCATATGCTCAAGTGATTTTTTTTCCGTTCGTTTTCCCGTTCCCGTAAAAAAAACGGATGAGTGGAAGCTCACCTTTATGCTTATAAAAACGCAGGAACGCAGAAAAGGGTAAATTGTAACGAATTTATACAAAGCACAAAGACAAACTTTTTATTAAATTTTTGCAATAAATTCTAAGTAACAAAAAACAACAAAAAATAATGCATAAATACATTATATTGTAAATAACTTTAAGCCGACCATTTTATATGATTTTCTTCCAAAATAGATAAGCCCATGTCACTAATTCCAAGTACCTAAATTGTAAAAACCCTTTATATTACCAAGCTTTGTTTATAAATTTATTTTTAAATTTAAGCTTTATTATTAAATTTATTGCTTCTAGGATGTTTATTATATTTATAATTTATTTCATATTTAATATAAATACTTATAATTTAATATAAATACATATAAAATCATAAAAATTAGCCGTGATGAAGGCACCGAAAAATAAATGTTACATCGATTATGATGATAAAAAAACAACACAGAAAAAATAGTGAAAAAATCAACAAAAAAATACACGTTGTTATCAAAAAATAATAAACTATTTTTAAATAAATCTTAGATGTCTAACTAAAATATAAAACTGTTTATAAATTTATTTTTAAATTTAAGCTTTATTATTAAATTATTGCTTCTAGGATGTTTATTATATTTATAATTTATTTCATATTCAATATAAATACTTATAATTTAATATAAATACATATAAAATCATAAAAATTAGCCGTGATGAAGGTATACGTTCAAAAATCATCACAAAAGGTTTATAACGTTTTAGTATTGAGTTTAATTTAATTTTCTATTGATGTCCTGTAACAAGGCGTTTATGTATTATTTCAATTATAATAAGGCTAATCATGGATCCCTACTACTCTGTCCACCCAGGCCCATACAGATTTGATTGAATTAGATTTAGTGCTTAAGTTAGTCAGGGTATACACTCAACTAAATTTTATTTCACCTATGTCTTGATTGTACAAACTGTGTAAACAAGCGCTATATCTTGTTAAAATTATCACTATTTGGTTCAATAAATATGTCTGTTATTTGAATCATGAAGTTCTTGGGCGTCTCTATATAATTGTTGTATGACTCGTCCTATATACAGGTGGGAGGGAGGGGGAGGGGGTTAAGTAACTATTAAGGCTTCGTTGGCTAACATTTACCGACTGCTAAAAACAGATCCAATATGCCGATTAAATTTTTGAATATAATTTTCGTTAATCACGGCCCTGCCTATATAAATATTACACACATTTACTCAAAAATACTAACAAAATACTAACACTCCAATTATCATCTTGTAACCTTGGTACAACAAAACATATAATTTACTTTTCAATTATTTAATTATTTTTACAAGAATTTTTTTTTTCTTCTATTTATTACTTCCATGTTACTTACGACACTAAAAATTACAGCACCTTATTCTTGTGAACAGACTCTCTGACAACTAGCATGTTTTTTATTATGTAATTGTTAAACACCCATTTCGTAAGTAAAAAGCTTGAAACTGTACTAGAAACAAGTTTCTTACGGTTCTAGTTAAAGATGCTGGGAGTTCACAATAGCTTAACATTGGATTGGTTCCAATATAAGTTCTGTAAGCTCTGCATAAACGTTTCTGTTAAATACCACCTGTCAAATTAATATTTTCAGAGTATTTCTAGTATTTCCATTGCAATTCTCCGAATTTTTATTCTTTTTAATTAGTATTATCTAATATACCTGCTAATACATATACATATATATATTTATACATACATACATACATACATACATACTACATACATACATACATACATACATACATACATACATACATACATACATACATACATACATACATACATACATACATACATACTTACATACATACATAGTATAAAAGAATTTTATATATTTTGTAGTTTTATATATTTTGTAGTTTTAAACAAATTAATACTATTAATTTGTTTAAAACGAATACAAATTAAGTAACATTCAAGACACATAGATTGATCATCATTTTTTCAAACTAAAAGCCGAAATTTGATATTTGCAATAAAGATGCGATTGATATGTAATCAAATTAAACATTTTTTAACTTAACAATGAAGACTCACTACTAAATTGAAAATAAACAAATAATTGTCTTAAGTGACATTTAAATAGATTCTATAACATTTTACTTTAGATCTTCATAGCTTCTAACTCTTTTTAATAAACAGAAGTCTTTGAGGTTCTTTTCTGATACTTAATAATGAACTACATCGAGCCAGGGCTATTAAAAAGCTACTAAGTTTGGATGACACCATTTTATTTTGTTTATGTTTATTTTAAATATTGAATGAGGTTGCCTCTAATTCTTATGGTTTTTCTATGATTTGTGCTGGAGACCTGGAAGAAGTTTTTTTTTTTAAATGCGGATTCCAGATTGGTACCAAAAAATTATAATATGGATCTGACATAAGTTCAGTATAAGGTATGTATAGTTTTACAAATGGACCAATATATAAATGTGCACTTACATAAGCTTAGTTTAGAATAAGCTTTATTGGTTTTCATTGTGATTTGGTCTTTCCAGATTTGAAATTGTTACCTATGCATATTTAAATAGATTTTAAAAAGTTAAAATAATACCAACCTTTAGATTCTTGTCATACTTGAATAAAAAAGCTTTCCCATTGACATTAACTTGAGTAGGTTCCACAATCACCCCATAAATAGAGATTTTAGAGAATGTAGTATGATTAGGAAAAAATTTGTTATACAAAGGAATTGAATAAAATTCTCCCTGAATGAAAAATACAAAAAAAAAAAAAAACTATAAGTAGCTTTAGGATTTCAAACTTGAAAACGAAATATTAACAGTTACAAAAAAATACCTGATGGGAATGAAACTCAATAATGGAGCTTTTTTCCAGATTTTCTTCTAAAAAATAACTATTCAGTTATTACAAAAAAAAAAAAAAAAAAAAAAAAAAAAAAAAAAAAAAAAAAAAAAAAGAAATGAATATAACACTAACTAATCTGAAGCTATTAACGATGTTTTGTATCCTACCTAGAATTTGCTCACCATCATCAAGATAAAGAAAACCATTTGCTTTCCCATCATTATTTAATGCCACAATCATGCCAAAATCATTTTCACGACTAAATTTTATACAAATTATATAAACTTTCTTTTTAAATTTAACTTCGTTATAACATAACCAATTAAAATACAGTTAAAAAATACCTGCCACGTCTGCAGCAATTGTTTTTAACTGTGTTATAGCTCATTCAAAAAAATTTACTTTTAAACAATAACTGTAATTCTTATTAACATTTTGAATTATAAATAAGAACAATTTTCCTTACCTTTTTGTTGTTGTAATAGCAGAATCTTGAGTAGGTATAATCACACCTCCTCTGATATGTAAATTCACATATTCATAAGAAGCAGGAAGATTCACATACTCACCTTGACTATCAAACAACTCACCCTAAATAAATTTAACAAACATTTATTTTATAGCTCAATAGAATTTATGAAACTTTAAAAGATCTTCTAATAAAATGACTTCTTCCACCCATTGAAAAAAAAAAAAAAAAAAAAAAAAACTTAAGAAATGTAAAGCATAAAATCTTATACAAAATAAAGTTCTCAAAACACAACATGTAAATACCATATAAACTTATTAAAGGTTAAAGTACAAAGTATGTCTTGCTTAAAATAAAAAATCCTACAGTGTAAAAGTTAAACCAAAATCCAGCTGGTAGATATGCTCTCACATTCACTGCACCCTAAATATATAAAAATAATTATTTAATATATATTTCATCATCCACAAAATAAGTAATAGGCTATAAGTAAATTAACTTTGTGTGTGTTTGATATGGTAAAATTATTAGAAAAAAATATTTAAAAAAGGTAAACGCAAGATCTTTTAAATTAATATTAATTCAGTTACCTCCAAAATCACAGGGCTAATTAAAAGGCCTTTTCCCCACATAAACTGTTTATCATTGTTTAGACAGTTACTATCTGTTGGAAATCTAGAAAATTATTTTCAAATTTTCCTATATTCAATATTTATTTAAAAAAAAAAAAACGATTAGAAATAAAAAAATAAAAGAAAAATACTCAGAAAATAATCCCCTCGCTACAGGTGTACCATTTACATAAGCCTCAAAAAATAACGAGTAAAGATATGGTAACAGCTGGTATCGTGTATTTAATGCGTTTCGTGAAGCAATAATTAACATTTCACCAAATGCTGCAGGATCTTGAGACTGTCATTTAAAAATTTAAAAATATTTGATAATAAAGTTAGAAAAAAAAAAATGTGTTTAAAGTAAACTCAAATGTATTTAAGCAAACAAAAAATGTTGATTACTCTAGATTCGTGATCATTATGGTTCCTAGAGAAAGGGTAAAATGCTCCCAGCTGCATCCATCTGCTGCAAAGCTCTTCTGTAGTATCTCCTGAAAATCCACATATGTCTGCTCCAACCAATGGAATACCAAACAAATTAAAATTTATTATACCTAAATAAAAAAACACATTATTTCACACATTCTAAAATGCTTAATTTCTTGGTGAAGTTTATTTTGGTTTATAGGTAATAACTTAATGTTTTCATTTTTATTGAAATATGTATTTTTAATTTTTCTTGTTCAGTGTCATTAGTGCACATTTTTCATATTATAATTTCCATAAAAATAAATAGTTTAAAAAAATATTTAAAACCTGCTATTGATTTGTAAAGATCTTCCCATGTGCTGTGATTATCACCTAGCCAGTGTCCTGCATAAACACCAGTCCCAGAATATGTTGAACGAGAAATCACAAATGAGCGTTTACCACGTATCTTTTGTAAAGAACTAAATACATATTTTATTGCAATTTAAAAATATCTGCAGACTGAGTTTAACATAAACAAGTAAATAACATATAAACAATATATAATATAAATATATAAACAATATATAAATAATATATAAACAATAAAAAGAAAAAACCTATGAATAACTTTATTGCTATCAAGTCCTAAACTTGAAAAATTAATTATATAAAAAAAAAATGAACAAGTTTTGAAGAGTTTAACTTAAAAAGTTTATCAAAAACAAGTAACCAAAAATGATTAATAAAAAACTAATTAAAACCAATAAATTTTTTTTTAATTAAAACTAAATTTTAAAAAACTAACTTTACAATAAATCAGGAATTTATTGTTGTGTTGTGCAGGTTCGAATCGCGGTGCAGGGTGTATTAACATTTTATTACTTAATGTATTTTTTCAAAGTATATACTTTATGTGTATTAACTATTATTCTTATTTCAGGCCTTTTCATTAGATTTCATCAGGTAACCAAAAAAACACGAATAAATGTAGCTTTAACTCAGCTTTGATATCTACATTTATAAAAGTTAAATTGCATCGTGTACGCAATGCTGTGTATTTTAAATTACCGCATTGTAATTAATTTTAATTTCAAACCACGTTAAACATCATTTAAACAAATGTAACAAAATTTACTGATGAAATCTAAGATTCGTATTTGAAAACGATTATATTTCCTAATAATTTATTTCTTCAAAAAATTATAAATTACATGTTTTGTTTGTTTTTCACAAATATTTTTTTTTTTCTTATGTTTTTTTTTTTTAAAGATCTTTGCTTCCAACAAGGCTGCAAGCGACCTCTAATTAGTGTTGGAAGTTACTGGAAGAGAAAAGAATAAGATTGTAGAGCAAAATAGCGATTGAAAGACAACTTAAAGGGTTACAAATTATATGAATCAGGAAAGCAAGATACTGCTCCAAAAACTCTTATTCGTCAAGTTTTTTTCCTTGAACTGATGTTCAAGGAAAAAAACTAGACGAATAAGAGTTTTTGGAGCACTTAGAAACAGTAACAAAAAAAGGATGAGACTTAATTGAATGACACGAGAATGAATTTTAGTAGATAGAAAAAGAGACGCTAGCTCTTTAGAGCAGTGCCCATTATAGTATTTGTAGAAAAGAGAAAGAGAAGCAACATTATGACAATGTGACAAAGGTCGAAGGTTGGCTGCAAGAGCAGGTCCAACTATGTTTACAATACATAGTATTTTTGCACCAAAAGAGAAAGAGCATCATTAGAAGATCTGCCCCAGATATGGCAACAGTATTCCATACAAGGCCGGATTTGAGATTTATAAAGATAGAGAATAGAATCTAGAGTAAGAAAGTATCGAGCTTGATATAGAGATGCAACTTTAGCAGATGCTAATTTTGCAACGGATTTGATATAAAGTTTCCAAGAAAGATCAGAAGTAAGAGTTAATCCTAGAAGATGAAGGGTAGATGACTCATTGAGTACATTACCATTCATAAATATAGGAAGGTCTAAATTATTGCGATAATGATTGGCTGAAAAAACTTGAGTATTTAATGTATTTAATGAACTATTTTTAATAAAGATTATAAACAATTTTTAGATATATTTTACCAGTTACCAGTAAGGTAAACATAATTTATGCTTATAAATAACATAATTTATGCTTATAAAAATAACATAATTTATGCTTATAAATAAATTACATCAATAGAACATAACCTGATATTAAAACAAATAATTTTAAATCCACTTGTGAAAAGAATTCTCTTAAACAAAAACAATTTCCCTTCTTTATTTGCTTTTACACATTATAATAATAGATGGAAAGACTTATGTTTTATGTAATGAACTAGTTAGCCAATAGCAAAAACTCTTTAATAAATATTGTGAAACTATTTTACATTCTTTCAAAATTTAATTTAAATTTTGAAATTTCAAAATCATATTTAATTTAAAGTCTGTTAATTAAAAAATAATAAATAAAGTAATCAGTTTCTTTAACAAAAAAATTCAAAATAGCAGTTAAATGGTTTTTTTTACAATTTAATATTTTCTGGATAATCGTCACATAAACAACATTAAATATTCTAGAATAAAAAAGTTTTTGCTTAATGTAAAATTGCAGAAACGCGTACAAAAATAAATTCATACATAAATTAATCTACTGACTTAAAATGTCAATTTTAAGACTCAATTCAGGTTAATTGGAATTGAATCTTAATTGGAATAGCTGCAGAGGAGTGCGCATCAACTGAGAGTTTATGTTTCTAGGCACGCAAAAATCAAAAGAATGATTTTCTAGATTTAATCAAAAGAACCAATTAGATTTAATCAAAAGAATCAATTAGATTTGATCAAAAGAATCAATTAGATTTAATCAAAAGAATCAATTAGACTTAATTAAAAGCAAGATTTTTCTAGCTTTTAAACTTAAAAAAAAATCTTGCATCACTAAATTGAATATCCCCCTCTCCTGTAACAAATCACAAAATTGCTTACATCCCAATTCTTTATCACGTGACATAATTTGTCCATGACCCCTATCATATTTATAAAAATTATATTTAGAACTTTAAAACTCATGTAGCAGGCCTTGTTTTAAAGCGTTACGCCTAGAGCGATTTACGTACGCCTTAAGCGATTTTTACGTACGCGTAGAGCTGTTTTGGTTAAGCTACTTTTTATCATTTTTTAACTTTTAAATTAGCGGTAACATAAAAGAAGTAATTAATTTAAAAAAAAACCACATTAACTTTTAAATAACGTTATGTAAAGGTATTAAAAAAAAGAATTTACTTTAAAAATAATTATTGTAACTTTTCATTGCGATATATCTTTCCTTTTTATAGCAATTAATTTGACGCTAAACTTTTTATCCAAATATTTAGCAACATAAAAAATTGTTTGTCAATCCTTAACTACAAATTTTTTGCAATGTTTTTAATAAAAAGTAGTAATTTTTTAAAGTTTTTGGTAAAAAACTTTTAAAAAATCTATATTCCATATTTATTAATACAGAATATAAAAGTTTTTTGTAATAAAGATTTTTTATGAATTTTTTACTGAATTTATAATAAAAAACATTTGCAAAAAATTTTGTAATTAAGAATTGACATTTTTTTTTTAATAAAATCTCAAAAAATGTCTTAATATTTTTGTTATCATGATAACAAAAATATCAAGACATTTTTTCGAGATGTTAAAAAAAATGTTTTTGCTTTTCTTATTAGTTTAATAGTATATAGCTTATAGTTAGTTTAATAGTATATAGCTTTTCTTATTAGTTTATTAGTATATAATTTAAGTTATGCGGGGGGAGGGGGTCGGCACAGAAAAAAAAAAATTACCTGTTACTCGCAATATTTGAATGAAGACAATTTGTTAAAATTCTTCTGCGTGCGATTCAATAAGTTTTTTTTTTCATAAATCAAGTTATAATATAAGGTAAAGAAATCATGAGTAGACTACAACATCCGCTGATGACACTAATATTATGTTGAATATATTTATATAACGGAGGTTTTATTATGCACGCGCACATTACAGGTTCCGTTAAATAAATACTAAGGCACGTTTTAGTTTAATGACAGTCTCCATTTTTTACTAATGAATATGTATTTTTCTTTATAAAACAAAACAAACTAGTATATAAAAACGTTGTATATTTCTATTATCTCTAAATTGTTTAAAGTTCGAATATGGATTGTATTTTGAAGGACAAAAGATTTACTTTAAAAACTTTTAAATCTTGGGACTTTGCCGATGCTTTGCCGATGCGATGATCACAGAAAAAGAGAAGACTTACGTTATTAAAATCAAATGTAAGTTATGTGATCTTCATCAAAATAAAATATTATCCAAAAACAATAGTGACGTAAGGGCAACTGCCCAACGGTTTATAAATAATACGAGTCATGTTAAAATATTTTAACATGTTACTATATTTTAATTAAGTTGATATATAATTAAAAATAAAAATATAGTTCAATAAATAAATTAAATTTATTCTTAACAAAGATTACCTCATATTTTTTTTTTTTTAATTTTATTAAGTTAAATTGCTTACAAACGAAAAAAAAAAGAGTTTTGTAATTATACGTAGAATGAAAATACTTTTGAGTTTGTTTATAAGTTAAGGAACTTAATTTTTAATAAACAAATTTTACGAACGTTTATTATAAACAGATACGATTCAAATTATTAAATATACTTAAATTATTTCAGTTGAGTATTTTTTTAAGTTTGCACGATTAAAGTTTGGCGTAGAAGTATTTGTTTTTTTGTTTTAAGAATAATTAACAAAAGAGTTTGCATAGTTAAGACTTTTATATTTAATTTTATTTTTTTTTAATTTCCTAAAATTAAAAAAAAAAAAAAGATTTAATCGTTGAAAACGATTTTTCTCTATAGCTCTGTTTCTTTGTGATTTGTTTAAAAAGTTAAATATTTACAATAACATAAAAAATTTATGAATTAAATTCCTAGCGAACGCGTTCTTAACTACGTATCAAAAATATGCACAAAGCAGACAAAACTTTTTATATTTTTATAAAACGCAAGTTTGAAACGCTTTTAAAAATTTTAAAAATATTTAAAAACTTAAATTTTTCTTTGCTAGTCAAAACAAAATCGTTGTTTAAATAATAACATGGGTTTGCGTTTATCAATGTTAATATTTTTTGTTTACTCTAGAAATTTTTAAAAATAAAAAAAATCATTATTATTTTTTATTCAATAACAATTAAAAACAATTATTCAAAAACAAATTTCAGAAATAATTAATACATATATATATATATTTTTTTTTTACTAAATAATATTGAACTAAAATTAATAATAAAATAACAATTGAAAACATTACAAAATTTTCATAATAAATTTATATTTAAAACGTTTATAGTTTATATTTGAGTTAATTGTTAAATTGAACTAGTTTGCGGTTATTCATTTATTGAGGTAATTAAAACACTTAACGTCTATAAAAAAAAATAAAGATAACCTTATGACGTCAAATATCGCGTTAAGCTAATGCGTTGAGCACTTTTTTATTTAAAACAAGGCCTGATGTAGCCGAAAAAACTTATTTGAAACTAAATGTTTTTTAAAGTAATTTGGAATCGAAGTGCAAATATTAGATGGTAGGAAATTATTAATAAAAGAAGATAAAAACCTCAAATGCTAACTCATTTAATGGTTGTTATTGCTAAATACTATTTTTAACAATTATTGTAAATCTGTTATTAGTATGATTGGTTAACACTTATTATATATCTGTCATTAGTATTTGATTGGTTAACACTTATATATCTGTCATTAGAATTTGATTGGTTAACACTTTTTATATATCTGTTATTAGTATTTGATTGTTTATCTAAATTTCAGAAATGAATAAAATATTTTGAAAATTTATAAATCAAGATGTTAATTTAAGAACTCTTTAAACAACCTCATGGTTACTTTTGACTCTAAATGGCCATATAAACTATGCAAGTTGTAATGACTTCCACCATATTGTTGTGAATTCATGCATAAAGTTTTTTGAAAAAGTGTTCCACCAATTATAGCAGGAGTATAGGGTGGCTGATCATAGGCATTTTTTGGACACCCTTTTGATGATCCGTCAACAAAGCTAGATGGTTCATTCATGTCCTGTAAAAAAAAAGTATATTTGAAACAAAATTAAAACATTACAGAAAAAAATTCAACACTGAGTTTAGAGATAGAGTCCTTGCATAATCTTTTCTTTTTTTGATAGATAAGTTTTTGCAATAAACACTTAATAAGCAATTAAAGTTGATTTTTAAGAAATTAGTTTTGTTGTCTTGAACTTTCAAAAGTTAAAATTTAAAAAATGAACTTTTTATTTTTATTTTTTATACTTTTTTATAAATTTTATTTTAGAAAAATATTTAGCTAAAATAATTAATATGACAAAACCAAGAAAATGTCATGACTATATTAAGAAAACCCTTCAAATCAAAGCCTTCAAATCAAATTTTCATATTCATTTTTATGTCAATGACATTTAATATATTTTCTTGAAAGTTTTGCAAAATTTAAACCATCTAACTCTTATAACTAAACAAAGCTTTAAAATAACTCCATTTAATACAACATTCATCACCGTTAATGAAAACACCCAAATTATATAAAGTATGTTTAGCTAATTTAATCATTAACAAAAACGGCTTAGCAGTTGATTATTATATGGTGTTTGTTTTGTTTCGAGTTTGCTTTTTTATTTTTCTTTCATGCTGCATTTTACATATCTGTCAGAACATACATATACAGTGCAAGAATTAACTATTTTATGGAAAAACTGCAAATGGAAATAAAAATAACATTTTTAAAAATTATTAAATAAAATATTATAGCAATATTTTTTAAAACTGTTAAATAAAATATTATTTAATAATTTTATTCAAACTATCAAACGATATTTTATTTAATAATTTAAAGACAAACTTCAGCTGGGTTTAAAAAAATGTTGTCAGTAGTCTTTACTCACTATATTATATGATATCTTTGATATCTTTTTTTTTTCAATTATATTAAACTCTTGGCCTTGACCTTTAAAATTTTGGCTTTTGCATTAAAAGTTTTGACTTTTCAGCTTTTCCTATTGAATTCAGAACTTTTTTGCATGTTTCATAAATATTATTATTTTATAATTTCATTCGCCTTTTCTTTGATCTCATTTATTGTTCTCAATTGATTTCATTTATTGTTGCAGTACTTGCTGTCTGCAGTTTTGTTAATATTTGGCGTTGACTTAAGGCCAAAATTTAAGTCTTTAACTTTGAACAATTATTACTTGATTTGTCAGTAGTCTTTACTCACTATATTATATGATATCTTTGATATCTTTTTTTTTTCAATTATATTAAACTCTTGGCCTTGACCTTTAAAATTTTGGCTTTTGCATTAAAAGTTTTGACTTTTCAGCTTTTCCTATTGAATTCAGAACTTTTTTGCATGTTTCATAAATATTATTATTTTATAATTTCATTCGCCTTTTCTTTGATCTCATTTATTGTTCTCAATTGATTTCATTTATTGTTGCAGTACTTGCTGTCTGCAGTTTTGTTAATATTTGGCGTTGACTTAAGGCCAAAATTTAAGTCTTTAACTTTGAACAATTATTACTTGATTTGAAACTCTTGTTTTTTGGCCTTCATATTTTTGACCTTGATAACAACTCTGACTTGAAAATCATAAAAAAAGTTAAATATCTAGTAATTTAATTAGTTAAAAAATTAATAGATAACAAATAAAAAAAATAACAACATGAATAACAATATCAAAACAATAGATTGTTCTTACAATCCACAATCCATCAAATTGAAGTTTTTCATGGAAACTTTTGATCTGCATAAGCCAGTAGTTTGAAATATTGGGGTGTGTAAAATCAGGAAAAGCAGCCAATCCAGGCCAAACAGCACCAACTAATACTTCCCCTTTACTATTTTTTATGAATATATTTTCTTTTATTCCTTCATCATAAGGTAAGTAACCATGGTAATTGATACTTAATGCTGGATCCTAATAAATAAACAAACAAAAAATAGCATTTCAAGACTATAGAAAAATTAAAACATAAATTACTGTATATTGTATACTAAGACATAAACTAAAAATACTTTAAAACAAACTAGTTCTCACCAACATAATAACATAATGCATCCCTTGGTCATGAAGATTGTCTACAAATCTATTTAAACCTTTAAAACTGTAACCTATTGTAAAATCACGAAAGTTATCCATATAATCAATATCATTCCATTGAACATCTTGAGGAATTTGATTAGCTGCCATTCGATTTCTGACTGCATTCATTTCATTTAAAGAATTGTATCCCCAACGGCATAAATGAAATCCTAATGACCAATAAGGCGGCATTATTGGACGGCCAACAATCTAAAATAATTATTCTAATAAAGATCATATATTTAAATAAAAAAAAATCATGCAATTGATTAATAACTATAATTTATACAATAATATAACATACAACTATAAAATAAAAAAAAGTAAAAACCTTAGTGTATTGGGAAACAACATCATTAACTGTTGGTCCAAGAAAAATGTAAAAGTCCAAAATTCCACCAATTGTTCTATATGTTATTGCTGGTGTAGGCTGCAATATTATATCTAAAAATATATTACAATATGTCAAAATTTCTACAATAGTTTACTTAATAGTAATGTAAACACGTTATTTAATTTAACAATGCTTTAAAAACAATATGTTAAATTATCAATGCGTATCTCAACATCATACTTTCACCAATAATTTGTGTCATTTAGAAAACCTGAATTACACTCTTTACAACATTTACATTTTTGAAAACTTCCAAAGCAATTATTTTACACTTAACTTCTTAATCCTATATATAAAAATATTTTTTTTGGTCCTATACAAAAAAATTTTTTTAAGATTTCTTTTTTTATTTATTAATATAATTTATATTCAAGGCAGTTTAGTTATAGCTTTATGTTGTTTTAAAGAATGTTATGCACTTTTTATATATAAATACATTTGCTTTTAAAAATGGCAAAATCAAGTACTCTTTATATAAAAGCCATTATATGGTTTTTATATAAAAAGTAAAAACCATTTAATAGTTTTTACATAAAGAGTATACAATTTTGAGAAAAGACCATTGGCTATTTAAAGTACCATGTGCAAATTCTGCAATGATTGCATCTGCAGATGCAATCATTGCAGAATTTGTGCAGAATTGCAGAATTTCTGCTGAAAAAGAGTAACTTTTATAAAATTCTTTCAGAACACCTTTCATTCTCTTAGGATGTCAGTTTTTATTGCTCCAAAAATGGAAAATATTACTGAAAAAGAACACCAGATTTATTTAGCTTTGAAAGATGATGCTTGAAACTAAAAAGATCAAAATAAAAAAAGAAGAATAATGGCTGAAAGTATTTCAGTTTGAAGTATGGACACTCAGTCAGTGCTTCTTTTTTCTCAGAGCAAAGCAATTGTATTGTATTACAAGACAAAGCTACTGGTGTATTATTTCACAATTATAACTTGTGCAACCAAGATGTATATTAGTATGTCAAAATATACTGTTTGCATACTTGCAATTCACACATTTGAAAACTTTTAAAAATCTATAGTATAACAGTTGTGGCTATCAGAACAAAAATATCAATCAATTACTATTGCTTATTATGAAAATACTTTATTTTGACTTAATAGTACTTATCAAAAGAGACAGGTGTAAATATCCTTCAAAAGTATCTGTTTTCTTGTCATACTAACATAGATAATACTAAAAAAATACTGAAATCATTTTATTAATAATACTTCAAATTATTCATATCAAAAATGACTTAAAGCGATTATAAATTGATTGTGATGATATGTTTTATATACATAGATAATGTATATACATTTACATATTTTAAAATTTTATATATATTTTATATATTTACATTTATATATATTTTATCTATTTTATATGTATATATTTTATTTAACTGTAAATTAAATCTTTTGAAAATGTAGTAAGACTAAGAAACATGTCAAGAATAGAAATTATTGTGATTTTTATTAAAATTTTTATAAATGTAAATCTATTTATATTTTAAAACTTGATGTCAAAACTATTTAATCAAAAGCTTAAAAATAAATAAATAGAAAACAAATAACCCATTGCATTGCTGTTTTTCAAAAAAACTCCATTAGCCAAGCCAGTTTTCTCAATGTTAACATAAAAAGGATGAACTCCATACAAGTTCACTCCACCCTAAACAAAATGACTTTACTATTTAATGAAAAAAAAAGATTAAAAAGAAAAAACTATCTAAATAGGCAATTAAAAAAAAAATTGCCTCAGGAGTTGGAATGTCTCTAGAAAATAAGGTAAGAAGATTCCAGTCTGTGCTTAATTTTAAACCTAAAACATGTTCACCCAAACCATAAATGTTGTCAGATGGTAGAATAGAAGATATTTGAATAAATTGATCAGAGAATATAAAGCCACCAACATTTGAGTCAAATCTATTAAAATATTTATAAAGTTTCAAATTAGTATATATTTTTCATACTTATATACAAAAAATTTACAAAACTTTATTAAAAAAATCAAAAATCAAAAAACTCACATGACTTCTCCATTTGATATTCTAACAACTTTGAAGCTGAACAAATCATTTGTATAGGTTACATGATAGTTCAGAGATGTTGCTTTATTTTTTACATTAGGAGAAGGGGTAGGAACTTCATATCTTTTATTATAAGGATCAAAAATCTGAAAAAAAAGTATATATATTTTTAATAATAGGAATTATCTGTAAAATTATTTAAACTTATGAAATGTTTAAACAAACATTTCATAAGATTAAAAATTCTATATTAAGATTTTTTTCAAAAAATAAAAAAAATTTTTTGCATTAAGCGCATTCAACATATTAAGAAACAAATTGTGTTACAAAGAAAAAGGACAGCAAGTGATTAATTCTTTTTTAAGGAAAGAGACAGGAGAATAGAGAGAGTAAGAAAGAGATTCATTTTAAAGATGAAGATCAAGAGAGATTCATTTTTAAAAGTAAGGAAAAGTGGTAGAGTAGAGTTTAAACAACAGAATATAACAATGATGTTTTAAAACCATTGTTATAGTATACTCTGTGTGATTGTAATGCGATTTTAAAAAAATCGAATAAAATTTATTTCCAAGAAGTGTGTTTTCTAATTACAAGATGATGAATGTTAATTATTAAGAAACAAAAAAAGTTTAACATTTTTAAACACTGATGTGACTTATGGGCCACCCTGAATTAAAAAAAGAGCAATCATGTTAACTTTGGCTATAAAAATATTGTAACTGGTTATGTGAGAATAAAACATTTTAACTGAACGAGCAACAATAGAAAAAATATTTAAACAAAATAAAAATGAACAAATCAAAAAAGATTAAATGATGGAAAAAAGATTTTCAAAAAATAATTGATGAATCTGTTTCAAGAAGTCCACTATAATGCTATTCTAAGATAGATACTATGCCAAGAACTTTATCATTAAAAAATTTATTTCATTTAAAAGTATAAGTATATGCTAGTCACCATCATTATTTAAATTTATATATATCGTCTTTTGTCTAACTCGTTACTATGTTTCTATCTAAACTCAAAATTTAATTTCATAGATAGATTACAAAAATTTGCTTTTCTTATCTTTGCTATTATTGAATTTTTTAGGTCTAAAAAGTAACTTTTTGCTAAACCACATAACTAATTTACAATATGCATCTATAATAATTTGTTTACCAATATGATCTGATATCCAAGGAAAATTGTATGAACTAAAAATCAGTTAAAGTTTTTATAATTAACTATTTGTATTTAATTTTCTTCAAAACCAACTAAAAAATTGTTTTTTTAATTTTTTGTTAAAACAATGAAATACATAAACATTCCACCAGTAAATGCACAGAAACAATGAGCTACACTTCTTTTTTCTTCAATTAAATATGGTAAGTTTTCCATAAAATAACAAATTTTTTAATAAAAAAAAATTATATACTTTAAAAACAAATTCACTACCAACAATGCTGCATGCATGAAGAAAAAAAAATGAGCTAAAAATAAAGAAAGAGGTTGACTTAAAAAGTCAACTAGTGGCTGACTTAAAGAGTCAAATCTTGCAATGAATTGTATACATGGTTTCCATGAGAGGTTAATAGTGAAGGATTATCCATGGAGATGTAAAGTAGAGATTCAGTAAGACCGTTCATTAATATGAGAATATCAACAATGTGTTATTAGCAGTAAACAACTGAGTCATTTAGGTTAAAATTCACCAGTCACTGTGAACCCTAAACTTTCAAAATTAGATTCAAAATCTAAGCTTTCTAAAAGAGATGAATTAATTATATACAGTGAACAAATAGAAGAAAGATTGTAAGGAGATCATTAAATAGAGTAACAACACAGGACAAGGGTTGTAATCTTTTGGTACTCAAAAAAGTTGCTGGAAACAAAAGAGATTGCTCTTTATCAAAGATAAATTTAATACTTATTTTAGAAAGAATCAATTCAATAATTTTAAAATTTTTTTTTCTAGTTACAACACATAAAACATGTTTATAGAAAAGAACAGTATGATAAACTTTATCAAAAGCCTTTATAAAGAGCAACTTGTAATTGACCAGGGCTGGTATTTGACAGTGGCCAAAGCTGGTTCTATGGATGGGACTGCATAAACATTGGTGCATTTTGACTTATTTTCATATATCATATCAACATGCACCAATATTTATACAGCCCCAGCCATAAACCCTGCTTTGGCTCAGATAAAATACCAGCCCCGGTCCTTTACTAAGAGCAACAGCCCTTGCCTCATCTAATGCATGGTAAAACCTTTTTGCTATAATGGCTAATAAGTCAGCATTTATTTTTTTAAATAAAAATAAGGAGATATTCTTTTATTAAAAAAATATTTTGTTATTATTTATTGCTCAAGACCAGTCAAGGGAACTTGATTTAAAGACTATTGTTTAAGTACAATCCTTTAAAAGCACTTTAGAATTTTGAAGTATTATTTTTTTATAACTATTGTTAAAACTACTATCACTTATAATAATTTATCTCTTATAATTTCTTATCTTTTTTTTACTACCAATATCATTTTTAAAATAATAATAACTTTTTATATTATTTTCTAATTCTTAAGGAAACAAAGGAAAAGTGAAGGAAATTTTTAATAATAAAAAAGATTAGTTAGAAATAATGTAAAAAAAGAAAATAATTGAAGGGTATAAACGAAATAAAAGATTGAAGAAAAAATAAAACAAGAAAATGAATAAAAGAAAAAAAAAAAAAGAACAAATTTAATCAAACAAAAACAAAACAAAAAAAATCAATTAACAGAAAAAAGTTTGAAAAATGTTTGAAATAATAGTCGAAAGAACTAATTTAAACGTAAAAAATCGCAACCAATTTTTCTACACTTTTTTTTTGTGGCAAATATGTGATATTTGTTATATTATTTTTTATTATTATAATAATTATTAATTAATATTATAGTATTACCATTAATTACTTTTATTAAATATTATATTTGTTAAATATTATGATTTTGTGTATGCATTTTGTTTTGTAGTTTTTGTGTTTCTCTTTTCGTTTGGGTAAAGTTTGTTATTATTTATGCTAATTATTTTTATTGTTGTTTTCTATTTTACCAAATTTTCTACACCTTTTTTTTTTTATTTCGCAAATAATAACTAAAGTTTGTCCTTTTTTCAATTTTATTTTATTTTGTAGAAGTATTTGTGTTTGCCTTTTTGTTTTGTTGTTTTTGTGTTTCATCTTGTAGTTTTTGTGTTTTGCCTTTTCGTTTGTGTAACGTTTGTTTTTTATTTGTTCTGTTTTGCTAATTATTTTTATTTTTGTTTGCTGTTATTATTGAGTGTTTTCATATTTTTTGTCTTATTATTTAACTTATTTTAGCTTTATCGCTGTCATTATTATTTTATTTATTTTCTTAGCGATTTTCAGTTCATATTTGTTATTTTTATTATTATTTTACTATTATACTAATTGTTATAACTAATTGGTGTCACTCATTTTGATCATGAGTGACACTCATGTCATCATATCATTTGTATTATTATAGTTAATATTATTATTTTTAATTATTATTGTTATAATTATTTGGTGTCACTCCTTTGATTAGGCTTCTGTTTGAGTGACACCTTCCTTTTCAAATAATTATTTATATTTATTCTTATTAGTTATATTTTATTATAATTATATTGTTTGTATTATTATAAATAATATTATTATTATTACTATTATTGTTATTATATGATTATATGTAAATTTTAAAAAGGAAAATAAATATCTTGTTGTTGTTGTTGTTTTTAAAAGTGATAAAATTTAGGTTATACAATTTTTTTTTTTAATATTTTTATTATACTTGTTACAATTATTTTTAATATCATTTATTTCTTTTATTGTAAATAATTTTTTTTTCTAATTGTTATTGTTGCAGTAATAATCTTCTTCTTTTTTTTTCTTTTTTTTTACTTATTTGTGTTTACTACGTTTTGGTGTCATTCCATAGATTAATTTAAATATCTATGATGAATTTTGAAAATTTTATTAATATGGTCAAACTAAAAAATTTTGCTTGACCAGGTTTGAAGTATTTAAGTGTAGTAAATATGAGAAAATAAAAAAATCTTGATTTGCCGATCTTTTTTATATGTAGTAATTAATAATAATTATTTTCTTTCTTTTCCATTCTTTTAATTTCATTCATTAACTTTTTTTTTTTAACTTCTATTTTCATTACTACTTTACTTATTTCTTTTCAAATATTTCTTTTTCTTTTCTTCTTTTAAAACATTTATTTATAAATAAGTGGGTTGAAAGCCAGCCTAGTTTGTTTTTTTATTTATTCTGATATCATTTATTGGATTATTTTTTTAATGAAACTTGATGTTTTAAAATTTAAAGCATCAAATTTTATTAAAATTTTTAAAATTAATTTTACTTAAATGTTGAAATCGAGCTGTTTCATGTAAAAACTTTATCACACTAACATTAATTTAATCAATACTAAAAGATTGTTCCAGAGATATATAATAACTTATATTATTGTCAAGGAAACCTGTGTTGCTTACGGTTACAATAATGGTTACATTTAGGAATCGTCCATAAAGTACGTACGCTCGGAGGGGAAGAGGGGGTCTGCAAATGGCGTTTATGAGATGGGAGGGCAGTGAGTCAATTATAAAAAAAAAAGGAGATACTAAATTTAAAAAAATATCAATAAATAGTTTAAAAGCGTAGCTACTTTTAGGGAGGTGGAGGGTACTCAAAAAAGCGTATTGCGGAGGAGGGGTTTGACGAAAAAAAAAACGTACGTACTTTATGGACGACTCCTTACAGTTAAAACGCTTACGCTTACGGTTAAAATGCGTTTACGGTTAAAGTACGCTTTTATTTATTACCGGTATCGAATACTTAAATAGTCTATTAAGCATTTGCACCGGTCTTTATATTCATTTACTTTCCATCCATATATAAAAGTTGCATTCTTAGTACTTTAGGGTTGTCATACGTCCTCTTTTTCCGTAAATGAGTTTGCTAAACTACATGACAGTCAACAAGGATCAAAAAGATAATTTAGCGCGCGCTCTTTCATGAAAAGATGTCTGGTAACACTATAGTACCAGTATTGGTAACTTTTTCTTGTGATTTTTAATAGCCGCCTAATGTCTGAAGTTTTCAACTTTTTTTAAATAGCTATTAAAGCCCTTTATTTTATTTTTTTTTTTTTCAACTTTTTTCAATTTAGTTTCAAAATAAGAATAGTTTATGTTAGATTATTTTATTATAAAGACAATACGGTCTGATGCGTAATTTTTTTAAATATTTATTTTATAGTTTATAAAAACGTTTTACCTTGACATGCAACGTGTTATCTGTTTCCAAATAAAAATTAGCATTAAGTTTTAAAACATTTTTTCCGTAATGTCCTCCTAGTCCAGTTAGACATAGTTCCAAGGTAAATCCTGTAATAGTTTCTTTGTAACCACAAACATTGTAACCTATATTTGCTGATCCATAATAACAGATAGGTTGCCCTTCATTATTTGAATTGTCCCAACAACATCCTCGACTATAACAAGATTCTTCTGTAACTCCACTCTCAGGAAAACAGTCAAATCTTAAGTTTTTGTTGATATCGCAAATCGATTTATGTGTTGATACTTGGAAAATTTTAAACAAGAGAAATATGCCAAGTCCTAAATACATCATTTTCCTAAAAATATTTTTTTACTTCTTAAAATATATTTTAAGCTATGTTATTTAATTATGTTCATGCAGATTTGAATTGTTCATAAATATACTTTTGGCTGAAAATCACACACAATTACCAATAATAAAGCAACTGTTAATAGTTAACACGTAGTTTATAAATCACACGTTTACAACGCTTGAGTAAATCTATTTTAGTTTTAATAGTGTCATTAACACTTTTTTGGTATTTGACAAATTTTGGCAAAAAATTTTCATTAATATAATTGATAGTACTTTCTACAAAAAATAAAATCAAACAGGTTAGAATGAAATAGAGGATATTATGAAATAGTTATGAAAATCTTAATTCTTTTACTCTTAATACTCTTAATTATTGAAATTCTATGTAAATAATTTTTAACCGTGTTGTAGAAAATATTTTTCTAAATTAAATGACATAAAAATTTAAATAAAGAGTAAGAAAATTTTTGGATAAAGTTTTGGAAAAATGTGTATAAAACTTTCGGAAACGAAATTTCCCATCAGCGAACTTAAAATATATTCTTGTTACTACGCTGTTCAAGAACGTTTTTTTTTTCAAAATTAAATTTGCTATATTCGGTAAAAGTTAAAATTGAGTTTAAAAAGATAAGGTGTTAAATGAAATATAGGGTTAAATGAAATACGATTGCTAACTTAACGAATGGGGTTTTTGTAAATAAATTAACTCTAAACACACACACAAACCGAAAAAATATAAACGTGCCGAGAATCAAAGAGGGTCAATACACCTAAATTACTTAAAAGAAAACAATTCTTAACTCTAATTTGATTCTATTTAACTAATATTTTTTTAATTTTCTATTTTATTAATTTTTCATTTTTTTTTCTTCATATAGTTATTAAGGTGCTTCCAGAAGTCCGCGAGAACATCGCTGAAAATCATTTAACTAGGAGTTCACACCTTCCTTAACAATGTTGTTTATTGGGCTAGAGCCAGCGTTGAACCTACGACTTCTGGGTTCTGAGCCAGAACTATTAGAGCATCACGGCTGCTCAAAATTAAACGTGTTGAAATAATAAGTATCTTATCGCACTTTAAAGTTTTTAAAATGGAAATCAACGTTTTAAAAAAAAAGGTTTTTCTTTTCTCTCTTTATTAAAACAATATCTTTTTGAAGTTTTTAATTTTTTTATGATAAATAGAACTACGTAAAATTTACAAAAACTTCAAATGAGTGTTTGGATCTACAAAAAAAAGTCCACCAATTTATGAAAATTATTTCTAGACGTCATACAGGTTATGATGTTCATATTAAGGTCACTAAAATTATATTTTTAGTAGATAGTACCCCATGTAGTAATAAGACCCTTGTTACTATATTGCTAAAATGGATTACCCAGCAAACTCACAACTTCTAAATTTAAAATCTAAACGTTGTAATGACGTGTCAAAAACGCCAATTTGTCTAAAAAACGTTTTTTTAAACGTATAAAGCAAATATATATATATATATATATATATATATATATATATATATATATATATATATATATATATATATATATATATATACATATATATATATATATATATATATATATATATATATATATATATATATATATATATATATATATATATATATATATATATATATATACTTTTAAAACTGCGTCTACGTTTTAAACTTTTAAAAGCATCCTTTCGTAAAGTGACATTGATTATCTTCTGGTTATTGTTAAAAAAGATATTAGTTATAATTTTAGAAGCAAATTTAAACTCCCATTCCTTGTGTAAATCGCAGGTAAAGCAAATTATTTAAAAAAGTATTTTGATAAAACAAAGCTTGATAGAGTATATTAGAGTAATATGAGCACCTTGGTAATATGAGCATACTTGAAGATTTCTTAGATGTAAGCAGTGAAGTTAAAGTTGCTTTGTATTTTTTGAATCAACTTTATGTGGTGATAATAGGAATCATTACAATTAGCGTAAATTTATATGAAGAATTAGCGGCTATCATCTAATTAAAACGTTGATAAATTTTTTGCGTTGTTAAGATAATATCACCAGGCATGAATAAATCTGTGGCGCGAGATTTTAGTGCTAAAATAATGAAATTAGTTTTTTTATAAAAAAAAATATGTTAGCTAAAAATCCAATCCATTTTTGTTTAAAAAACAATGCATAGAAACATTTAGTTTTGACTTGATTTAAAGATGCCATTTTTGTGTAATATGAGCATGCTCAAATTACCCAGTGTTTTCCATTGAAATTATCTAGTCCTAAAATAGCAGTGGTTTTAATTGCTTTTTGAATAAAAACAAAACATAGTAAAAAATTTTAATATTTGAACAATACTAAATGTTTTTTTGTAATTTTAAAATCAAAAAAATTAAACTTTTATTGTTCAAAGGTTTGAGTTAATAAAACTGATAAAATAAAGAACGCATTATTTTTTTTTTATATTCAAATTTTAAGCTACTTTTCAACGAAAAGTAGCTTAAAGTTTAATCTTTTAATGTTAAGTTTTGTTAATAACAAATCATTATATTCCAAAAATTAGTTCTAATTGTCAGATTGGTATTTTTTTACTTAGTTAATGTTATTTTGAGCTAATTTAAAGTTCTCATATTACCAAGGGGTCTGGGTAATATGAGCACTTTTGCTACTTTTTAAAAACCTCTGTCTTTTTAGGAAAAATTTTTGGGTGTCTAAATATCTAAGTGGATCATGAGTAGGGATCCCTAAAAATTGTTTATTCGCAAAAATTTTGGATCCAGCATAATTATTTTTGAAAATACTCCAGCTTTTGCTTAAGGTGCTCATATTACCCTAATCTACCCTAATCTATGACCTTTAGCACCTTGTTTAGTTATTAAATTTGAAAGATTATTCAAGACTAAAAAACATCCACATAAGATGTCACATCCACAAAAAACATCCACATAAGAAATCCTTAAGTGAAAGTGAAGTTAAAGTAAGACCACTACATGAAAGTATTTTTAAATATGGAAAAATATTTATATTGCTTATATCTCTAGCAGGCATAGATTTGCAGACATTGTAGTTGTTTCATTTTATTAATTTCTTGGCTATATAACCAGCAAGTGTTGCTGGAACTTTTTCTGCTTCAAGTGAAAGAGTTAATTCAGATAACTTTTTTGAGTTTAAGTGTAATTTTATTAGTAATTCATCATTAATTTGTTATTTCATCATTATTTGTTCATTAAATCTTCCTCCCAAAAATTTACATTCTCTTTAATTAAAGTTCGACATGCTAAAATAATTTCTTAATTTTGAACTTCTCGTTAGCTGACTAGAAATCTCCCACCACTCATCTGTCGATATTGAGAAAATCTGTGCTCTATATACGGTCACTATGAAGTTGTGAAGTAAGCACATACAAGTATGTGGTTGGATAGCTGGATAACATACAATGTTATCTAGCTATCTAGCCATTTTTTATCCATATTTGATAAGTTCTATATCTATACGCATTGCTTGAGATCGAAAAGTTGTGATAAGAACAGATGATGTTTTTTTAATAAAGTAAAAAAAAAATTGAGATTTCTGCCAAAGGTTAATCCAATTTGCTAGTTGCTTAAAAAAAGTCGTTTTACCATCATCAAAAATAATTGCATTACCAAATTTGTTTGAATAAAATTGCTATTTTGAATTTGAAACTGTCCACATTTTTGAAAAATGCCTAAAAACCAGAAATGTCATTTTGTTTCAGAAAATAATTTTTCAAACTTGCACGAGTTTTTATTACCAAGGTGAAGACTTTGATATGTAATTTTTAGAGCTTTATTAAATTACCTTAAAGTTGTTCATCTTTAGAATGTAGACGATGAAAATCTCCCCAAGTAATATAACTAGCTACACAAGTATAGAAATCATCTTCTATATTATACCATCATGATCGGTTAAAATTTGGACGATTTTAAAATGAGTTTTCTCAAAAACCACTTAATCAATTGCAGTGATTTAATTTATAGTGATGTTTGTTCTTTGTAAAGAGGGGTAGTTTTGTTTATATTTCATTAGTTTTAACGAGAAGTAAGCAAAAATTTAAATTTTAATGTCAAGTAAAGAGACTGAAAATTAAAAAAAATTCAAATTTCACATAAAATATCCATTGTTCTCGTATTCCATGATTTCAAAAACATGTAAAGTTCGAAAATCAACTGTTAGTATTGTTATAAAACGTTATAAGGAAAACAAAACTGTAAAATGAAATTTAAGAAGTGGTAGGAAAATCAAGATTTATTTCCAAAAAGAAAATTAAATCAATAGCTGACTCAATTCATCGAAAACTGACTCAGTCATAACAAGGTTTAGCTATAAAATTTAAAAGCAGTAAATCTTTCGTACTAAGAATATTCAAAAAGAAAACTCTGAAGACATATTTCAAGAAAAAAATACCAAAAAGTTTGCTTGCTGGAGAAACCAAAGCAATTGGACAATCTAAAAATTTGCATAAATTAATTACAAAAAAAATTTTTATGGTATAATTATTGACAAACGATTTCTTGGAAAGCCCATATAAAAACATCAAATTCAAAAATATCAAAAAATATCGGCATACTTTACAAAGTCAAACCTATACTTTCCGAGAATCTAAAAATTCTTAATTTTTCTTATATACAAAGTTGTCTAACATATGCTAATATTGCCTCTGGAAGTAGAAACAAATCTAAATTTAGTTCTCTATATATACACCAAAAACACGCATCAAGATTGATTTATAATAAAAATAAACTCACTCATGCCGATCCTTTACTTAAAACCTTGAATGCTTTAAATATCTATCAAATTAACATCTACTAAAATATTTTATTTATGCTCAAATATAAGCTCGGACTTGTCCCAACTCATTATACTATAAACTTTTTTCAAACCAACGCCAACAGATATATCACACGAGTAACCGGAAACTTTAAGTTGCCCATTAAAAAACAAATTTTTCGAGATTTTCAATTGTATACCACGGCCCTTATTTATACAACAAAATAATACTTTATAATATAGAACTTACTAAATTGAAAAATCTTATTGCCCTAAAGAAAAAACTAAAAGATCTCATAATTAACAAAACCAACTTTATCGATATGTATTAAATATAAAAGAACAATTAATATAATAAAATGAAAAAAGAACAATTTAAGCTATAAAAGTAAATAAAGAGACAAAAAAGAAATAAAAACATAAATTTAAAAAAATAATAAATACATATAGTTAGCAACTATAAATAGTAAAATATTACTGAACAGAGGACTTCAAAAATTTAGTGTATGTTTTATAGATTTACTTTTTAAATGTTTAGTTTATTTTGTATTTTAAAGGTTCTCGATGAAAAGACTTTTCTTAGTCTTCTGCGAGTTTCTTTTTTTTTTTTGCCATATAATTTTATTCATAACATAAAACATATGTATATACAAATAGCAGGGGCAAGAAGAACATTTGTCTTATCGCCAAGCCCCTTAATCAATACCGTAATACAAAATATTAAAATATAAAAATCGTAAAACTACAGCACTACAGCATATAAAATTTTGTTATATAGACTTTTTATATAAGAAACAAACAAAAAGATAAAATTTATAGGTTCTTAATGCCCCTCTCTAACTATAAAAATCTACTTTTTTTCTTATTTTAATATAACAAAAAGACAAAAATTAAATGCCAAAGTAAAAGCAAATACTATAGTATAGCAAAAAATTATAATAAAATACTCATAATCCTGAAACTTTCCTTTTAAACCAGTATACACCTTTACATATACATCAGAAGAAACCATGCGCTACGTTGCTCATCAACAGTCTTTGCTTCAATTTGGTCTTAAACTCATTAAGCGTTGCAATTGTTTTAAGATCATTAGTTAATATTTTATCCCATACTTTTGGTCCTCTAGTAGAAATTGAAAATTTAGTAGCCGCAAAATACAACTTACAACTACATACACGCTTAAAAATAGTGTGGACAAAAAACACGACACTTAGTGTAGCGTCTTTTTGGCTACACAAATTGTGGACTTCAAGGCTACGCTTGTGCGCTTTAAAGCCACACTTGTAATTATGAAATTAAACTTCATTATATGCGTAAAAAAAGCCACACTTTGTGTTGCACTTTCTTGGATTCTCGTATCGAATTATTTGGAAAAGAGGCTAGAATCATGATTTTAGCGACATGTTTTTTTTTATGAACCGTTCAGTTTTACTGAAAATTTTAGTGTAACTTTTATTGCTCCATGGTAATTTTAAACACATACATAGTTAACTTTTTCATAAAGAAATATTTGGTTTGTAATATTTTAGTAATATCGTATTAAATATGTTAAGCGAGGAAAATATCGATTTTCAGTTGTTAAAAATTAGGTAAGACCTTCGGTACATTACTACATGAATTAGTTGTGTGACTTTATTTAATTAGACTAATGCTATTATTGTATATATATATATATATATATATATATATATATATATATATATATATATATATATATATATATATATATATATATATATTATATATATATATATATATATATATATATATATATATATATATATATATATATATATATATATATATATATATTGTATTAAAATGTTAATAAAATTATTTTAGTTACGTTAACAACATTATTATGAAGTTATAAAAATTATAACATAATAACATTAATTATATAAAATAATAACATTAGTCTAAAAAAAATGTGTAAAATATAGGTTATATTTTACACATTTTATATATATATATATATATATATATATATATATATATATATATATATATATATATATATATATATATATATATATATATATATATATATATATATATTTTCTGATAAAAGTTATTAAAATGTTTGTTTGCTATATATGTGGTACTTTTATGAAACTATTAATTTTTTTTCAAAATCATCTTCAACGTCATAATAGTATTGTCGAAATTGTTTATCCAATTAAATGTTTACAGAATGGCTGTAAATGTACCTGCACAGCTTATATGTCGCTAATTAGACATGTAAAATGTTACCATAATATTGATAATGATTTCATTGATAAAAATCCTGAAGCAAAATGTATAGTAATCCATTAAATGATAATCGTAACGATTTATTGCCTAATTTTTTAGAATATTTGTTGCCTAGTTTCCCAGAGAATTCTACTTATTAAGTTTACACTTATCCTGAAAAAACAATAGAATATATTGATCCTTTGTTAGTTTCTTCATTGTGAACAAGCAGCAGTGTTCCTTATTACATTATACCTGAAGTAATTGTTTCTGTTAACAATATTTCATAATCATTAGTTTCCTATATTGCAGCGCTCGAAATAGTTTTTCAAAGCTTGCCAATTTCACAAAAATAGATTTTCCTTGAATTTTTTGAAATTTCTTCAAGCATTGCTGATCATTGATCACCTGTTATTTCAAGCAATGATATTGCTAATGCTGCTTTATCAGTTTTCAATGACATTAGAGCAGATTCCACTCTATTATTGTTTAAGAGTAAGTTTGAAAGTAGTGTTATACATTGCAATGAGCCACTCACTTGAGTGGCTTATTGCAATGTATAACACTACTTTCTTGACACATTATATAAACAAAATAAACACTTAGAAAAAATTTCTCTTTTTGTAGTTTCTGAAACATGCAACATGGGCCCTCCTAGATATGAAACTAATGAGGGAATTTCAAAGATAGTTTTATTTCATTGAAGAGATATCAAGTAATATTACATTGCATGATGGCTTTAACACTTGCAAACAAAACATTTTTTTACTAGCAAGAGATTCAATGTTCAAAAATACTTTGTCAGAAGACTAATATAATGAAGGTATATATATGTCTACTACCCTAAGTGGGGAGAATTAATAAATAAGAACTTTATAACTTAAATAAGAATTTTTACAACATAATTGTCAATCTGCATAAGTACTAAGCTGCTGCAACTTGACTATGTGCCAATCTGCTAAAGTGCGAAGTTTCTCTTTCTCATCTTATTTCATTTATTAGTTCCTTACGTAATATACCCTTTTAATCCAAAAGAAGGTTTTTTTATAATCTACCTATAAAGGTTTATAAGTATATACAAGTTGTTCCCTGATTTATTTTTATTTTTATTTAGAAGATACAACTTTGCTTGCATTTAAGGCGCTCCCTTTTCTTATGATAGCACCTCCACAGAAGGGCAAGGAAAGTCCAAGAATGGATTTTGATGCAATTTTGGCTTTATTTTATAGAGAAATGGATGTAAGTTTTTTCTATACATTTTTTTTAAAGTTAAATTTGGTTTATAATCAAAAAGTATTACTTTTTTGAGCTTTGTATTTTCTGCATTTTTAAAATTTTTCTTAAACATTTAGGTACACCTTGAGTTATTGAAGAAGGAGAAAGTTTTTTTACTGATTTTATTCAAGTGTTGCGGCACTCTATTTATAATTCTAATTATAACTCTAATTATAAGTCGATAATACAGCTAAACGGTTGGAAGCCATACCGAGTATTAGATTTGCTTTTGAGTTGCTGCTAGTCTCTTATTATGTATTTAATGTCAATTTTCCTCATGAACTTATTTGTGTATATATTTTTATGGGAAATTTGCTTGGAATAAACAGCAAAAGAATTATCGTCAATTCCTTGTAAAGAAAGTATTACCAAAAGTTTAAGATTAAATTAAGCAATATGTTTGTGAAACGAAAAAGTATTTTTATCACTTTCTTATTTATTTTTGTTATATCGTCAGTCGAGAACCAAGAAGCCGTCTTTTTTTTTTGTGTTTCCAAGAAAATCAAGTTTTAAATTTTAATTCGCGAAGACTTTCTGCCAGAAAATTCGACTGATTATTTAATTATTTCCTAAAATTTTATTGTTGTGGTATATTTATGGAACACACACTCCTGAATATTTATTGATAATGGACAAAAAAAAAAATACACAAAATGTTGACATACGGTTCTTCTCTGACGGCGGTATCTATTTTTCAAAGTTTTGACTCGCTTTTGCATATAAATGTTTTAAGACTTGTTTTTAATTTAATATTCACTGAATTGAGTTTGAGTTTGAACTGAGTTTATATACTTAAAAGAAATACTATAACAATGCATTGACTCGGAATTAAAATAAAATTTATATTTCAGTTTTTATTATTTTATTGTGATATCGTTCCGTTATTTCTTGTAATCCAATATAATATACATATGTAATTTAGTATATGACTCTAAATGACAATGTGTAATTTAGTATAATATTTAGAATAATTTAATTGCGCCCGGTTATATACATAGTACGTGAAGACCTAAATGGGCGGAATAAATCACGCATAAATATACTTACAAAAAATCAAAACATTTATAACGTCTAGAAAAACACAGATTAGTGTATAAACTATAGTGTTGCATTTAGCGCAACACTAATTTTGAGGTTTTTTTACAACAGTTTTGTCGCGCAAAAAGAGCTTATATATACAGCCATTGATTAAATGCAACAGTTATGCCGAAAAAATTTCTACTAAAGTGTCGCATTAAAGACCACAAAGTGTGGCTTTCAAGTCTACATTTTATGTAGCCTTACGAATGCAACACTGAGTATGGCTTTTAAAGCTACATAGTGTTGGTGTAGCCGGCGTCGACACTCATTGTTGTATTCTACGCGACATAATGTAGCCTACGGCTCAACACTATTTTTAAGCGTGTAGTACTACTAATATTACAACTACATAGTACTATTAATATTACAACTACATAGTACTATTAATATATATTAATATATAGTTTCAACGACAAGCAAGTCCTTAGTAGCCCTGTGGTGCGACGGTCTTGCGTATATTTTTTAAATGCATGGGTTAATAGGCAGCA